TTCATTCCAAGCCTCGATGCGGAGGAGAAAAGGGGGTGAGTGAAACTGCACAGCCTGGGCGCTCGTCCCATCCCTGCTGAACCCCACAACTTCCCTGGCTTTCATCCCCCAGAAACCCCTTACGCCTCCCCCCATCCCTTCGGAGAGTGGGTCAGGGCTGCCCCGCCCCAGTTCTCAGCAGGGCTGAGGTTCCCATGCCCGACAACAGAGCAGAGTGCAGCTGCAGAGAGGTGACGAGCCCCTGGACCAGATGCTCAGAGCAGGGAATTCCCTTGTCAGCGAGATTCCCAGAATCCCAGGTCCTGGTCCTTCCCTGCCTTACGTCATTCACGCCTGCGCCGGGTGGGGGTAAAGCTGATCGCCCACAATCTTCCAGTGGCTTCAGTTTGCTTTGTGCCTGTGGCCCAGCGAAACCAGCCCCTGAAGACTCATCCCTGCATAGGGGATCGTTGGGTGCTACCCCATCCTGGCCCCTGGAACTCACCGCTGGATGAAATAATGACCACTAACCTGGCCACGCTCACTACTCGGTGCAAACCCTCCGCCTTGCCTACGTAGACAGGTCGGCGGGACGAGGCCCATCCCATCCCATGGTGCTGCGTTTCTGTGCACTGAGACCCTGAGCCCTGGAGGGAGGCAGGCAACAGGCGTGGGGCTGGAGCGGGAGGACGTTACCCAATCTCCAGCTCTCCTGGAAGTTTGGTGCCAGCTGTAATGGTTACAAAGGCAGAACTCTGCTGCTGCTGCAGGAATGTAGAGCAACCTGATGTGGGGGACCAACACCCCTTCTCCTTCCCTGCGAGGGAGGGGCAAGCCAAGCACCAGGGAGACGCCCAGGCTTGGTCACAAGTACAGAAATTGGGGAGTCCCTTGGGTATCCCCCCTGACTTTCAGCCGGGCCAGAGAGGAAGAGGGGATGCACAGAGGGGGAGGGGCCGTTTAAGGGGGATCCCTGGGAGGACAGGGAGGAAAATGAGGACATTGAATTGCTGTTTGGTAATGCTCAGCTCTGTCAGCTGGGGAAATGTCCCTCTAGGCAGGCGGGGGGAGCCCGTCTCCTGGGATCTCCATAGCGCTAGCTGGGGCACTGCCTTGGCGGACATTCTCGGCTGCATGGGGCTTTTCTAGCTCGTGCCAGGGCACCGCAGAGGCATGTGGCTGTTAATGACAGTTCTCTCCGCCCACTCTCATGGCACCACTGAACTGTAATTCATTACAGGAGATTTGGAAAGACGACTGTGATGCTTCCCGGGCACTCAGGCCCGCGAGGCACCTGGCTACCCCCTGCTCTTAACGTAAGGGAGCCTCGTCTGTGCCTGCCAGCAGTCAGCTCCCCGACCCCACTGGCCACGGGCAACACAAGCACTTCCCTCCCAGCCCACGTGGCTCCACTGTCCCTCATGCAGGCTACCGCCAGGCACGCCCCTCCCGCAAGGGCTCCGAGCAGCCCCTGCACGGCCCAGCCCTGACCCACTGGCCACTCACGGAACTGCCAGGCCTGCTGTTCCCACAGGAACACTACACAGCAGCTTACGTGTGACACCTGGACCACAGCCCCGCTCACCACACAGCATCTACCTTATGTTTATTTAACAACGAGCAAAGTCGTGTGATGGCAAACGGGATATTGGAAAGGAAGGGTTGTCCAGTAAGGTCCTGCTCGCCCCAAAGGCCTTCTCACAGCGTCTTTCACCAGGATGGCTGAGACCCTTCCTTCATGGGCCCAACCCCCCTGGCAGTTTGCCCCCCCCCCAATGAAGGGCGCCATGGTGTCTTTCTGCACCCCCAGATATATCAGCCCAGACCACTGAGCTTCACCTAAAAACAGGGTACCCTGCCCCTGCTGTTTACCTCTTCCTGTTAATTTTCCTTCCAAAGACCCCCATTTGACTCAGTGAGAGAATAGACTTCTATTGTAAGCCACACAATATGCGTTGGCTAGCCAGGGAGATGTGTGACTCCTGTCTGGAGACGTCTGTCTCAAAGCACACTGCCTCCGAGAGACCTGCCGTTAACGACGAGGCCTCAGGAACAGAATGTCCAGTAGATATACGGATCTCCTTACGTATTGCCTGCATGCGCTCCACAAAGGTTATGCTGACCAATAAAGCTTTGCGCGGGACTATTTTTTTAATCCTGCTCCTGTCCCACCCACAATACCCACTTGTACTCCTCCTCGCTCCTGCATTGTCATCCCACTCCCACCTGCCAAAACCTTCGATCCCGCAGGAGAGACAGTTTCCCCCACGCTACTAACAAAACAAAAACACCCAAACCAGTCTGTTAATACCTTAGATATATATAAATGGAATTCAAACACAATTTTTACCACTAAAAGAATAAAACAAATCTTGTGTAAACCAGGTAAAAAAATACGTTAACTCCTGTTATAATAGACATCAAATCGCTTTCTATCCCTCACTTAAATTTAAGTATTAAACCCTTTATTTGAAAAACAAAGAAAAGCTTTTTTTCCATTGCTGAAATTCGATTTGTGACAAACTGACGAGAGATTTCGTGTTTTCCCGGAAATTACCACAGGCTGGGGGTTTTGCCCACCCAGTCCCGCCTCCAATGAAATACATTTTACCTGCTCCCGCTATTGTGGCAGCGGGTCCTGCGGGATCCCAGTTCCATTGCAGGGCTCTACAGCCCAGCTTTGGTCGAGAGCTTACCTGAACTAGAGTGTACATACCAGAGCTCGGGGAGCCCTGTGACCCTCTGCCGCTTGCCATCGGGAGGCCCTTGGGTCACAGGGACAAAGCCCGGCCTTGAATCGGGCTGTCCAGGTGGGAGTGCCCAGGGCTCAGAGCCTAACTGTTATGTCGCTCGTGTCAGCCCCAGCATTGTGCCATCGCAGGTGCCAGGGACGCCGATGAGGCACATTCCCAATCTCCTCAATCCAGCAGAGAATTTAGCGCATGGCCCGTCCTCTCCTGCTGTCTCTGGGGTTCCGCTTTGTGCAGCCGTAGAGGGGGCACTTGCTATCCTGTCCACTGGCCAGCCCTGCAAATGGTTTGGCTCATGCCCAGGAGGGGCCAGCGGAGAGTCACTTGGGCTCAGTGCATGGGGCTGTGCGCAATGCTCCTGCGGCTCTTGAGATGGGCACAGTGCCTGGTCCTGGCTCTCCCCACAGGAGGCCACAGGAACTCCAGCCGTACCCCAAGTGTAGTTCCAGCATGGGGAGAGAGGCGCTAAATCCGAGTTCCACGGCTGTCTTCTGGGGTGGGCCGCCCTCCTCCTCCGGCTCACCCAGGCCAAGGCCTTGGCTTTCAGATGTTCTGGAGCCGCCTTTGTCCGCCAGCCCAGAGAGGCATTGCACATGGCCAGTGCCTCCCGTCCCATCAGTCTCTGGCTCCTGACTGCTCTAACCAGCTGTCAGGCCGTGGCGCCAGGGATCTGCCCCAGGGGTTCGCAGTTGGGATCTAGTAGCTCCTCAAGCTTCCACACCTGTGGAAACCTAGAGCCGTGGTCCCCAAACTTTTCAGGGTCGTTGCCCCCCCCCCCCCTGAGCTGGGTCTGGGAGTGGAGCAGTGGCTCCAGTGGGCGGGGGGAGGATGCAGACAGGAGGAAGGGGGCCAAGGCTGGACACAGCTGGGAGTGGGGGCGGGGCCAGGAGCAGAGCTCGGTGTCACTCCTTCCCTGCCCCTGTGGGGGCTGGGCCGGGCCCCAGCTGTGCTCCCCCAAATGGAGTACACCCCAGTTTGGGGCCCTCTGACCTAGAGGCTCTGTGCCGTGGAAACCCCAGGGGCTTGTCATCACGGCACGGCAATGCTCACTGGGGGCGGAGGGGGCGTGAGTTGTAAAGTGCAGCGACATGCTGTGCAGGGACTCACCTGCATGGCCCCTACTGGTGCAAACCGTAACGCAGTGCTGATTCACACGCCTGTAGTGCAAACGGCTGCGCCTGGTAGACACATCCTCCGGGACTGAACTGTTTTCATGGAGAGATGGCGGTGAGTAGCTTTCAGGCAGACTTAGTCTGAAGCTCTCTGCCTGAGATGGCAGGTGTGGTCACCGCTGGCAGAGGATTCATGGGTTTGATTGCTGTCACGGGCCCCACTGCAGACCGGATTGCTGGAAAGTTGAGAGGTTTTCAAGTTTTCTCATTTTTTCCCCATCTAAAAGCAAAAATGATTGGCCTAGCAATGCCAAACGCGGCTCGTTCTGCTGCCCTCCGTGAGCACTGCTGCATTTGCCCGGCCGGTGCATTCACAGTGGAGTTGTTCCATGTGCTTCTCTTGGACCTCGGAGATGTCTGTTCTTTATAGACGCTGCAGCCCAGACATTCAAAACTCAACACGTTTCCTAAAGCTTCTGTTTGGCTGGCCAGGCTTACAGGGTTTAGGATATGAGCAGCCACAGACTGGAGCCCTCCTAGAGGCCCACGTTCAACAGCCAGGCTGGACAGAGCCTAGACATTTATACGTGTCCCATGGACGCTGGCCGAGCCTGGCAGCACCACATGGACAGTCATTCTTTTCAATAGATGCATTTTAAAAATCTAAAGACTTTCCTAGACAAAGGGCATCACTGGTAACGCAGGGAAAGGAACTGCAGCAACACTTGGCAGTTAAAAAAGCGACCCAGCCCGGCTGTTGGCCAGCCAGAAATTGTAAATTAGGTGAAACTTTCGAAGTTCCTGCTGTTTGGAAGGGCAACAATACAGACGTGGCCTGGGCAGTGCACGGTGGAATGGGGCTGGCGCATACTGGCTAACGCTGCCCTCACACATGGGCCCGTACCTGGATGTAAAGTAGGCAAATATCTTGGCGGGGGGGGTGGGGTGGGGGCTTCATTAGGATTGCAGGACTTAGAGCAAAGGAGGAGAGTGAACAGAAGCTGCCACAAACTCAGTCTCCACCTGCTCTGTAGCCCGTCCCCAAGTGCAGAGTTCAGACTGTCCCCTGCCACACACCCGAGGCTGGGTCTGCCCCAGGAAAGCTGCCTGGGAGTGAGGAGCCTTATTAACCGGTTTGGCTTTATGTCTGAATTTCCAGAGAAACTGGATGAGATCTTGGCAGCAGCTGAGCCCTCGCTGAGAGCAGACATTGTCGAAGCAGATTCCAGGGCAGCCACTGTGAAGCAACGACCCACCAGCCGGCGCATCACGCCAGCGGAGATCAGTGTGAGACAGGAGGGCATCTGGGTGTGGGAGGGGGTTCTGCTTACTGGCCTCCAGCAAGGACACAGAGTGTTATGACAAGCATCTAGCTGTGGGGCAGCAAACAGCAAGGGTGCAAAGGGGCCAAAGCAGGGAGAGGTTTTCTTGGGCTGGAATGGGGGTGGGTGGGTAGATTGGCTGAGAGGACATGGGTGGGCATAGTGAGTGCAGGGAGGCCAGAGAGGTTGCAGGGGAGATGGAGGAGCGGGGGGGAGGCCAGAGAGGTTGTGGGGGAGCGGGGGGGGCAGAGAGGTTGTGGGGGAGTGGGGGGCCAGAGAGGTTGCAGGGGAGATGGGGGAGCGGGGGTCAGAGAGGTTGCGGGGAAGCAGGGGGGCAGAGAGGCTGCAGGGGATCATGTTGGGAGATATCTGGAAAGCCAGTGGCAATGCTGGGTGTGACTGGGCGATGGACGGTGAGGCCGCGCAGGTGGCAGGGAAGGCAGCGCTCCAGGTCTGTGTGGAGTGAGAGCCCAGGCTGGCTGCAGCATGTCAGGGCACTGGGGGTTGAGTCTGGGATTTAGGGAAGACGATAAAGGAGGGAAGACAGTCCGAGAGGTGATTGGAGCAGGAGTGAGGACTCAGGCTCCGGAGATGTGGTGGGACCGGACATTGGGGCTGCTGGAGGACTCCGGATAAAAGAAGGGCAAGAGAGAAGTCCGGAGCCTGAGGCGGTTTTAGACAGAGGATCTCAGTGCCTGGAGCAGACAGTGACACGGCTGAGGTGCTGGGGAAGCGCCATGTACCGTCACTGCAGCGGGAGGGGGGTGGCAGTGCAGCGGTGAAATGGGCACGTGGGAGGGAGGCGCAGCTAATGGCCAAGGGTTTTGAGATGTTCTTGAGGGAGAAGAGAGTCAGAGACAGAGCTCGGGGGATAGCGGGCCCCTGAGGCTGTGAGCTTTGCACTGTACATTCACTATAAGCTCTACGGATGGGGCTTCTTCCCGTTACACTCCGGGGGCCGCAGCCTGCTCCCAGTGAAGTCAGTGAGGCTTTGGTTGTCGGCCTCAGTGGCAGCCAAGAGGGAAGGGGACGCATGTCCCCTGGACTGCTATGTTAGCGAATGCTCGCCGCCCCAGGCTGTATGACGGCCCCGCTGCGCAGGGCTCTGCACACACACAGCAAGAGACAGGCCTGGCCCAGTGTTCAGGCCTGACCTCAGCGCCCCGCTCGTCCTTCACACCACGTAGCAGAGTTGGACGGTGCTGCGGGTGAAGCTTTTGTTTCCGTTCAGTGGAGTCCGGTGTCAGAGTGACGTTCCCGTCTTTGTTTCTTTCCTAGTCACTCTTCGAACGCCAGGGAATGGCAGCTCACTCGGGAGCTCTCCCGGGGGCTGAGAAACCCCACGTGTCCCTACGCAAAGGAATTCCCCGGACAAAATCTGTAGGTAAGGCAAACGGGGGAACGGTCCGTTCTTAGAGACAGGGTGAGCTCTGGAAAGGGTCTGCTGCAGAACACGAGAGCTTCACGAGCCAGCAGAAAACACTCTGCCCTCCTCCAGCACCTTCCATCCCAGGAGCTCAGCAGCCTGGTCAGGTACTGATGACTGAGAGCTCACAGGCCTGCGGGAGGTAGGAAAATGTCAGCATCCCGTTCACCAGGAAGCCAGGCCCAGGCGTGGAACTACTGTGTGGTACAGCGGTGTCTGAAGGGCCCAGGGCCAGGCTCGAAGCCCTGTCGTGCTGCAAAGACGTTACGGTGAGGCTGCCTATGTGGCTGGCATGCCGGGGATCGACCCGGGACCGCCAGAGCTCAAACAGGAGTTGCTCCCGCTGGCGCTGAAGGGGCTGTCACATCTCATGTCTGCTGTGGATTGGCGCAGAGGGGGACCTGTAACCTACACGCACCCTGGCCCAAAGAGCATACAGTCTAGATCAGTGGTTCCCAAACTTTTAAGGGTCATGGCCCCCCAACCCCTGTCCACACACACACACCCCGCCTCCCTGGAGCTGGGGCCATAGCTTGGAGGGTGGGGACACGGATGAGGTAAGGGGGCCAAGGCTGGGGCTGCAGCTGGGCGTGGGTGTGGGGCCAGGAGCAGGGCTGCACCCAGGGGCCGAGGCTGGGGGCGAGGGCAAATCCACAGACAGGCTGTGGTGGGGGCTGGCAACCGGGCCTGCGACCAGTTGCAGCTCTGTTCCTGGTCTCCCCCCCAGCCTCAGCTCCGGGCCAGGAACTGAGCCAGGGCCAGCAGCCGAAGCTGGGGGCTGGCGCAGGGCTGGGAGTGGAGCCATGCCGAGGCTGGGCACGGGGCTGGGAGCCGGGGACGCAGCTGGGGGAAGGATCAGAGCAGAGCTGGTGCCTGGGTGGTGGTCCCTCCCCGCCCCCCAGGGGGCTGGCCCAGGGCCCGCTGCACCTCCCAGATGTTCCTCCAGCCCCACAGTTTGGGCACCTCTGCTCTAGACAGAGACCAAAGCAGGCTCAGGCTACGGGGTACAACTCAGGAGCGAAGTGATCCGAGTGGTGGCAGGAGAAGCAGGTCAAGTCCATGTCTGGTTTTGTTTTTTTCTTGGTAATTATGAATATATTTGTTTTATTTCTGTGCTAAACCCTTAGTTGTGGGGACTTGTGGGGGGCAGTCAGGTTTGGAGCAGGGAGGGGAGGGGTTGTTTCATAAGAGAGAGAAGCTGAGGGGGAAGGAGGTAGGAAGGAGAGAGAGGAGAGTAGTGGATACTGACCCCTACCATGTAACAGGGGAATTAACCTACAATTCCCTTGATCCATCACTGTGACTAGGGACAAGAGAGAAAGTTCTCTCTCTTACCAGCACTCCTGTGTGTTACATCCTTATTTACATGCTGCCAGAAGAAAACATGCTCTTCGGCAAAAATGGGAGCAAACGAACCACCGGAACCTCCCAGTCGGGAAAGGAGCCTGGCAGAAAATTGAAGGATGTGGTCGCAGCACTCCCAGATTCTCCTAGAGGCAAGTTACATTGCAAAGAAATCCGAGGGTGCAACCTGGTTCAACAGGCGGAGAGAATCTACAGCGCATCCTCATGGAGGCATGAAGAGGAGTGCAGATTGCTAGACCGAGCCATTCACATGTCAGAGACCCTGTGTTCCACCCCAGAGGGTCATGCGGGAAGGGCTCGTTTGCTTTACTAGGAACCAGCTACACAGCGAGACCGTTGGCCATTAAGTTTCCGACCTGCGTAATACGCTACGGCATGTGAATTTGAGCAATTAAATAGTGGACCAATTGGAGCCTGAGTTATTGTGGTTTAATAACTAGGTCAAAGCAAGGTTATTGCAAGAAGTGGACTTGCCTTTGCCAGAAACAGGAGATATTTACAGGACTAGTGAAAACTGCTTCCCACCGGAAAGTGGTAACAAGTAGAGAATGACCCGCAGTATATCCAGGTACAAGGACAGAATACAGAGACCAGATTTGTTTGCAGTAAATGTGGAAGCAATCACAACACTTTGCTAAGGTATCCAGTATGCAGGGGGTGCAATACAAAGCATGCAGTGAAAGCAGCCATTTTATCAAAGTATATCTGACCCCAAATTGCAAAGAAACACAAAACAAGTTCATGAGCATACAGCTGAAGGACAAAGCGATTATGATGATGATGATGATGAAGAAGAAGATGCAGCAGAAAACAGAATTGTTGGTTGGGTCACATAAGATATTTACAAGGCAAGAGTCTACAACTGATGGGGGTTGTTCAGCACTGGAAATAAATGAATGAAAAGTAAACTTCAAACTAGATCTTGGAGCTGAGTGCAACATAATCACAACAAGCTTTTACAGAAGTAATTGTGACCGCCCAATGGTAAAATAAAGAAATGAGCTTCTTTCATTGAATGGACATGATGTTAACCCACTTGGCAATGCCTCAGGGGAATGTTTATAGAAGGACGGGTTCCACATGTTCCCATGCGGGCTTAGGTTGAAGAGCAGTATGCAAATACAGATGATCAAATGTGTATATAACTTGTCTGCAAAACAGGATGCCACAGATATCTAAGAATTTGTTGAGGTGTTTAATGGACTGGTATGCAATAAGGATATAATACACCATGTTAGTGTAGATCCTAAAGTGTCACCAAAAATACATGTATGAAGTACCATGTGCACTGAGAAAATGTAAAAGCTGAATTTGAATGGATGGTAAAATAAGATATTGGAAGCGAATACAGGCACCAGCTGACTGGGTTAAGAGTATAATCACCATAATAAACCAAACAAGCCAAGGATTTGCATAGATCCAAAAGATTGGAATAAGGCCAGGTGAGATGCAGCACCATGAGAGGAGGCCACAGCTAGACATCAGAATGCAAGAGTATTTTCAGTTTTGAATGCAAGCCAAGACTTTTAGCAGGTCTGACTCGATAAAGGAAGTGCAGAACTCTGTGCCATCAACTCTCCTTTTGGTAGATATATGTTTAGATTTCTTCCTTTTGGGGTGGCCTCACCACCTGAGGACACCAAAGCATCATGCCTCAGATCTCTGGGGATCTGGGTGGGGTGGAAGTACTTGCTGATTGGTTGATTTTGGTTAAAAAAAAGATCAGTAATACACTGAGAGACTATAAAGTTCTGCTCTGTGCCAAAGAAAATCTATTTAAAGTGAAGAAAAACAAATACCATATGGGGCTAAATCTGAGCACAACTGAATAGGGACATAAGAGCCCCCAGACTGGGTCAGACCAAAGGTCCATCTAGCCCAGTCTCCTGTCTTCCCACAGTGGCCAGTGCCAGGTGCTTCAGAGGGAATGAACAGAACAGGGAATCATCAAGGGATCCATCCCTTGTCCACTCCCAGTCTCTGGCAGCCAGAGGCTAGGAACACTCAGAGCATGGGGTTACATCCCTGACCATCTTGGCTATGGACCTATGCTCCATGAGTACAAGCCAAGAAGGGTGAAGGCAGTTGTACAAATGGAAAGGCCCCCAAAACAGAGGTCATACAGAGATTCCCAGGCACGTTCACACATCTAAGCTAGTTCATCCCTAATACGTCACAGTGAAGCGCTCCATTCAGAATGCTGCTTGAGGACAGTACAGAATGGCCTGGGGATGCCTGGCAAGAGGAAAGTTTGGGGAAATTAAAAGCAAGTTGTCACAGAAGCACCAATATTTTGAGATTCAAAGTGGGTGAGGTAATACTTTTTATTGGACCAACTTCTTCTGATGAAAGAGACAAGCTTCCAAGCTACATAAAGCTCTTCTTCAGAGCTGAAGATCTTTGCTGATGCAAACTTAAATGGGTTTGGGACAATCCTGCAAAATGATCACCCAGAGGTGGATGCTTTCAAACCACTGACTCACACATGTTCACACTGAAAGAGAAATGCCAGCCATTGGTTCTGGTGTGAGCTGTTTTATGAAAATGTGTATGGCTAGAAATTGTTCGAGACAGGATCAGGTCATAGGCAGCTGGGAAACACTGTAAAAATCATTGTGCAAAGCACCACCCAGATTCAGTAAGTGATCATAAAACTGCAAAAATACTCATTAAATATGAAATACAGACCCAGAAAGGAGCTCCGTATAGCAGCCATGCTTTCAAGAGTGTCTGTAAATAGGGAAAGCAGAGAACTGCAGGAAGAGGAGCTGGAAAGAGGATTTGTGTGTTTCAGACATCTGAGGCATCTTTTCATAAGCCTAGAGTTTGAGTTCTCTGGAACAACGGCTGTCCTGTTTGTACAATACCTAGGACAATGAGGCCCTGAGACCTAGTCAGGGCTCCAGGCACCACTATAATACCAGAGATAATGCACACAACATGAGGCTGGAAATGCTAAATGGAAATGCACCGCCCACCAGGGCCTGGGGAAGTTTAAGAGAAGAGATGTCAGATTCTTGCCTGGCATGGGGACAGCTATCAAAAATATGGTGTCTGAGTGTGAGTAGATACAAGGGGTGAAGCAACACGTGATTCCCAATCATCCTGAGTCCAAGGCTGGCACAGATGTATTTGAATTAAACAGGAATAATACTTTGTATTAGTGAACTGCTACTCAGATTTGTGTGAATTCAGCTGTTTCGCGGCTCATCGAGTACAGGGTGTGCTGGCAATCACAGAGGCCTCGCCCACCATGGAATTCCAAGTGAGCTGGTAAGAGCTATTAGCCCACAGTTCAGAAGTGTCTTATTTCAGAAATTCTCTTTGATCTCTCAGTCCAAGCCCACCCTGGCAAGCCCATGCCATGCGCAGGCAAACATGTTAGTGGAAAAAATAGTACAAAGAACAACGAACTTGTTGATAAATAAAGAACGCTGGTGGTTTCCAGGACCCACAATTAACACTGTTAGACTATCACAGCACACCTCATCGCTAGTGCTGACTATTAGAATTGCAGAAGGGTTTACAGAAGAGCTCTATATGCCTGGAAAGCAGAACAGAAGAAGAAGAAGAAATGTTAGAGACTGTTCGAT